GTTCCATCCCTGCTTCTGTGAACAAAACAAAAGCAAACAAAACAAAACTACAACCTCCACCAAAATGTAAAAACAACACACAAAAACAAACAAAATCTCAAATTTGGGGCTGCATAATAGCATCTCAGGGATAATAACAGCAGATTGTTAGGCAGGTTACTTTCTCCTTAAGATATGCTTTAAGAAGGAATAGAGGAAAGCTGGATTACTGACTTGGCCATTAAGGAAAACCAACAGTTCTACCGGAAACAGAACCCAAGACAGTCTTTTCATTAAAGGGGTTCTTTTGTTTATACCTGAACTGGATAGATGCCACATGGACAGTTCAAAGTACTGTGTTGTCTTTTATACTGAAGGTCTCAATATTTGAGTGAATACAATTAGGTCACTGTTTTACATGTTGATGAGGTTTAGCTCATAAAACTGCAACATCTATGTAGCATCTTAGCATGTTACATATCTTAAGTTGAATGCATCTGAGGGGAAAAAAAAGTCACAGAAATAGGGAGATCCCTTGGGATCCTGCCTCTTCATGACCACTTCCTCCTTCCCTGAGAGGAGGAGACAAGTTCCCAGGTGAAAGAAGGCACCCCCATTTCTAAAAGGAGGCTTTTCCTTCACCTGAGACAGAATCTGGGGTGGAGAGGTGCTATGCAATTACTTGCCAACTGTACTAAGCTAATTCCTTGCTCTTACCAATCCTCCACAAAGTTATTATTTACTTGTCTTAAAGGTACACAAGCTTCCTGCTCTTTGGGCTTTCTTTCTTGGAAAGAAAATTCAATAAAATGGACATGCTTTTGTCCCGGTCATCTTTTTTATGCCAACCTAAATCCTAGGTATGTCAGAAACCCAATGGGGGTGCAGGGGAAACTTTCCTTCCATGTTATACGAAGAAGTGATGTGTATGCCAAGTCCTGATAAATCGTTATTTTATAGTGCTCTGGAGTCTGGCTGACTGAAGAACTATATTGCAGTGGTTCTTTAACAAACTCTGCAGCTAGCGTGCAGCCAGAATTTAAGTCAGACCCTTCCCAAACAGTGTGACCCTCAGAAAAGTTCGGTTTGGTTTTCTTTTCTTGGGGGGGGGGGGGCTGGCTGGGCTGTTTCTTTGGATATAATTGTAGATTCACATGTAGCTGCATAAAATAACAGAGATAGAGACACATATCTGTCTGTCTGTCCTCCCGTTGTTCATCGATTTGCTCAAGCGGGCCCAGTAACGTCTCCATTGTGAGACTTCTTGTTACTGTGTTTGGCATATTGAATACTCTCGGTAGCTTGCCAGGCTCTCCATACACATCTCATAAAATGAGAGTACATGATCACAGCTGGAAGACTACAGTAAATTACAGTCAAAGCACTGAATGTTTCCATCACCACAAGAATCCCTCAAGTTTTCATATTATAGCTGCGTCCACTTTTTACTTTCCTTCCATCTCTCTAAATCCATACCAATTACTAATTTCTTCTTCATTTCTACAGTTTTATAATTTCAAATGCTATAAAACTGGAGTAATAGAGTTTGTAACCACATATATATTTTTTCTTTTATATTTGTGTGTATATATATTTTCCTTCTCAGTATAATTCTTGAGAGATACATTCAGGGTGTTGTGTATAGCAACGGTTTGTTTCTTTCTACTGTTGAGTAGTATTTCACTGGGAAATTTTCTCAGTCTCTTTATCATTATGAGCACAACACTTCAGGAAAACCTTTAATGAATGTGTGGTCTTACTAATCCATTTTAAGTACTAAATGCTAAAAAAGATCTCTCAGGGTAGATTCCTTCTATTTCCCAAGACGGTGGACATCAAGTCTTACCTCAAAATAAAACATGAGAAAGAACAAGAAAGCAATCCTGACCAGTTAATAGCTCACTCAAGTATATTATTTTCCTATTTCAAGTAATATCCTGACCATTTCAATCTTTTGTGAGAAGGGTCACCACAACTGCAAATTCACAGAATCTGTTGAAAAGGCTTACAACTTGTTCTTTTTTACTGTAATTTTATATTGCTTTCCAAAACTTTTATAAATTAGTAGCACATATGAGGTGAGATGTGACATAATTCATCAGTTCTGTACATGTAGCACAATTCCACCTGGTGATGGAAACATTCAGTGCTTTGACTGTAATTTACTGTAGTCTTCCAGCTGTGATCATGTACTCTCATTTTGTGAGATGTATATGTGTCTCTTTCTCTGTTATTTTATGCAGCTACATATGAATCTACAATTATATGAAGACAACTCCATATTCTGCTAGACACAAGCTATACACACACACTGAACAAAGGCACAAGCAATCAGCACTGTAAGAACTTAGTGCATAAAACCTTTCACTTTTATGTTGTTTTTTTTTTCCTGTGGGGGGCACACCTGGCAGTGCTCAGGTCTTACTCCTGGCAGGCGAGGAGGACTATCTGGGGTGCGAGGGTGCTGTTTGCAAGGCAGCACCTTTCCCACTGTACTATTCTTCCCAATCTCTAAAAAAAAATTAAAAAAAAAAAACCTTAATTAAAAAAGGAAGCAAATTTTTTTTTTGGGGGGGGGTCACACCCGGAGATACACAGGGGTTACTCCTGGCTCATGCACTCAGGAATCACTCCTAGTGGTGTTTGGGGGACCATATGAGATGCTGGGAATCAAATCCGGGTCGGCCGCGTGCAAGGCGTGCAAGCCCTACCCCGCTGTGCTTTTGCTCCAGCCCAAAAGCAAGCAAATTTTCAGAAAACTCGAAGCCAGTGTTGACACCTCACCTATTAAAAAGCCAATTACTGAGCCAGAGATAAGTCTAGGGCTAGCTCATGCGGGACGCCCGGAGGCAAGGCCTGGTGTACACACGTGGTTCCCTGAGCACCCTCAGGCCCATTTTCCCAGAGCAGCTCCTGACCAAGGTTGTGTGTGTTCTGCACACCCACCCTGCTCCAAAGGCAAAACGGCCAACAACTGTCACACGCAGGAAAGAATTGGCTGACATCTCAGTTAAGGTCCTCTGAGAAGACCTGGGTCCACAAACATTATTGGTTTTCAGAGAAAGATAAATTTTATTGAAACCCATATTCACTGTTTCAAGCATTCACTTAAAAAAAAAAGGATTTCTGTAATTCAGTTAAAAACTAGCATTTCTGAATTGAGCCAGAAAAGTGATATAAACAACAGGAACGAAAAGACTGAAAAAGGCTTTAAAAAAATCAAGTGATTTTTCCTTCCACCACTGATTCGCTTGTATTGGGCCTCACCTACCACTGGCTGCTGGTCACTCCAGGCAGAGCGCTAGGTACCAAGAAGTACCGGGGAATTGGGACTGAACCAAGGCCTCCAGCACTCAGAGCCTGCACCCAGACCACTGGGTGAGCTCTCTGCTCACTCGCCCACTCCCCACATTCTGAGTTTTTTCTTTTTTGAAAAAACTACACAACAGAAACTTTTGGCCAACTTCATGTTACTGCAAAAAGCAAAAGTGGTAGTCTACCAGCACTATCAAAGTATTCATATAATTTATATCTTCTATTTTTTTTAAAGTGCTTCTATTACATCTTTTTTATTTCATCTAGGACAATCATGCACAAAGATCCTAGCAAAAACTAAAAGTGAGATTTGACTTACAGTGACTTTGATTCTTGCAGTAGTATGTGTATCAAATAGAATTTTATACAGATTGAGTCATGGGAAGATGTCCTTAAGGAGAGATAGATCTGTTGTCTTTTACATAGCATTTTGCTTTATCCATATTTTTTGGTGTGTGTGTGTGTGTGTGTGTGTGTGTGTGTGTGTGTGTGTGGTGCTGGAGATCAAATCCAGGTCTCCTGCATTCAAGGTCTGCATTTAGCACTAAACCACAACCCGGGTGTTGCATTCTGCTTTAGCAGCTAGTCTATCAAAGCAGACAAAATTATAAACCTGTGCGGTCCTTGGGAAATATCAGTAACAATTTAACTCACTGAATAAATCAACACTCTCTTTTTTCCCCCCTTTTTTATGAACCATAAACCAACGAGATAATATTGATTTCTCCCCCCCCCCAACTAATTATACATAATGAGTTATAGTGAAAGCTGAATCAAATATCAAATAAGGGCTAGAGAGGTAGTATAGAGGCTAAGGACCTTGTTTTGCACATGGTTGACCTAGGTCTGAGCCCCAGTACCACATAGAGTTCCCTGAGCCCTTTCAGGGGCAAAATTATAAAATAATAGAGTCCCCAGAGACAAATTCCTATTCATTCATTTCAGTTTAAGATCATACAAATTACCCTGAGCTCCTTAAGTTAGGTGCTAACTGTACAGGAGATAATTATTGGCTTGAAGAACATGAGATAAATATACTACTTTTCAATATAAATCCCCCAGGAAAGAATCATCAGCTTAATGATATGGAAATCTATACATCAAAGCAATATTCCAGAAAAATATTCCCAATTCCTGGTATCTGTTTCTGATACTGTGGGATGCACAGAAATCTATTACATATATGCGTGAATAAGTATACATATTTATTTACACACAATCACTGTAGCACTGTAGCACTGTCCTACTGTTGTTCATCGATTTGCTCAAGCGGGCCCAGTAACGTCTCCATTGTGAGACTTGTTGTTACTGTTTTTGGCATATCAAATACACCATGGGGAGCCTGCCAGGCTCACACACAATCATGTGAATAAAAATTACATCTTATAAATAAACTTTTGAAAACATTATTTAACAACTATCCAAAACAAACAGTCTAAACAAACACTGATGCCCCTTTACTTGGAAGCATCAGGATTAATTAAGATTTTAATTAATAAAGCCTCATCCTGTCTGAGGTACCTGTATGGAAAATTTGACAAACGTGTTACTGCTCCATTTATCGCCATGGAAAATAATAACTAAACGGACACTTCCTCTTATGGAAAACAATCCAAAGGTGGTTAGAAAAGAAAAATAAAGAAAGGAAGGAAGAAAGGAAAGAAAGCAAGAAAAAAAAAGCTGAAAGATGTTGGTGTGGCACGCACCTTCAGTATCATCGCGCATTTGCTCCACCAAATCTGTCAAATCCTCCCAAGAGTCTTTGCAAACGGCAAAAAGAAAGGAAAAGAAAGAAAATGTCATGCAGGCCAAGAAAGAAAAGTGCTATTAAAAAACAGGGGTTCAAAAGGCATAACTGAAAAAGAGGGTTCTAGGACTCTTTCCACTTCACCCCAAGATTAGTAAGGGTTGGTAGTCAGGCAGGGAGTCCCCATGGAGGAATAGATCTTACTAAGCAAACATACCAGTCATGACTAGGGAATGCGTTAAAGCTAAGGTTAATCGTTTCAAGGCTTCTAATAAAAAAAAACAAAGATGTATGCTCCATATAAAAAAAGATTTTTCCCATTAAAAATTAAATTTAGGCTCTTTACATCCCAAGTACCCAAAACATCAACCTCATTCAATATTGATTCTGATCACTTCACCAAGGTTGAAAATTCTGTGGAATATTTTTTAGACCCAGGATATAGACCTCATTCAACATTGATTTTGATCAATTCACCCAGGTTGAAAATTCTGTGCAATACTTTTTAGACCCAGGATACAGATACTGTGGAATACTTTTTAGACCCAGGATACAGAGTTACTTTTCTTAAAATTTCCCCCACAAAATCTAAATACCATTCCCAATGCCTTCTGCCTTGCCAGCAATTCCCCTCCCCCTGCACCCCACCTTTTCTCCCAAATTAAAAAAAAAAGTTGCTTTGAAGACTAATAATTTAACAATCAATAAAAGGATGTTTATTCAGTTAAAAGTACAGTACTTATTGGAACACTGTATGCATAGAACGCTTTAATTAACAGCATCGTAAATCATAGTGCCTAAAATAAAATTTTTAAAAAGGTACAGAATGCTTTTACTAACAATTGATTGTTCTTGCAAGTCAATGTGAAGTAAATGCTAGGAAAGCATGAAAAAGATTACAAATGTCGTGGATATTAATAGGTTCTCTTATAAGATTATTATTGAAATCAATTCTGAGACTCTAAATATTTTACTTTTTGTTCCTCAAATAATAAAAATCCTAATATGTCTGCACAAGTCTCCTTCCCTCCCCATTTGCCATGTCAACAAATGCACTGTTCCAGTTGATGTAGGTGGTACTGCGGACTGAATTTATAGCCTCATACATACAATGCAACGGATCGACCACTCAACCACATCCTCAGGGCCCTATACAAAAAGTCTTAAGAATGAGTTATTGGGGTCGGAGCGATAACACAGTGGGTAGGGCATTTGCCTTGCACACTCACAGGCGACCCAGGTTCAATTCCCAGCATCCAATATGGTCCCCAGAGTACTGCCCAGAGTAATTCCTGAGTGTAGAGCCAGGAAAAACTCCTGTGCATCACCGGGTGTGCCCCCCGCCCGAAAAAAAAAAAGCTGGTAGTGGCCTCTTAAAGAAGGAAGCCCCAGCATCAGAGAGATAAAACCGCTAGGAAGGAGCCTAGTCACCAGGGAACAACCAGGAGTAATTCCCAGTGCAGAGCCAGGAGAAAATCCCAAGCACCAACGGGTGTGACCCCCCTCCACCAAAAAGGAAAAAAAAAAAAAAGAATGAGTTAGCTTCATCCTTTATTTTTGAAACTACTGTTATACATAACTCTGATATTCATACTTGAACTCACAAAATCACGCAAATTTCCTAAGAATAAATATGTAAGAAAGGGTAAGTTTTCAGAAGATGAAGCAGAACAAAATGAGAAGTTAGTGAAAGAATACTTTGCTCATGATAAGCTTTATTTTTTCTGCCTGTCCACCCAGGCCAATGATAAACTTTCTTTCTTGAAAAGTTAATCATGGGTCCAGAGAGATAGTACAGTGGATAAGACTCTTGCCTTGCACACAGAAATCTGGGGTTGGATCCCCAGCATCCGATATGGTCCCCTGAGCCCGCTAGGAGTGATTCCTGAGAGCGGAGTCAAGAGTAACCCCTGAACACCGCTGAGTGTGACCCCCAAACAAAACAAAACAGAAAAAGAAAAGAAAGACAGAGAGAGAGAGATAGAGAGAAGGAAAGAAGGAAGGAAAGGAAGGAAGGAAAGGAAGGAAGGAAGGAAGGAAGGAAGGAAGGAAGGAAGGAAGGAAGGAAGGAAGGAAGGAAGGAAGGTTGGTTAATCACAAAAAGCTTGGAATCAGCTCAGGCAAGAGTTTTTTTATTTGTTGACTTTCTAGTTTATTGAATTATCGCTGTAATTAAAATGGCTAATTTTTGGTCTTGTTTCTGGGCCACACCCGGTGATGCTAAGGGCTTACTCCTGGCTCTGTGCTGAGGGATCACTCCTCCTGGGGCTCTGGGGACCATGTGAGGTGCCAGGGATCAAACCTGGGGTGGCCACATGCAAGGCAAGTGCCTTACCCAATGTTATCTCTCCAACCCCCAAAATCTTTAACTTCAGACCAGTCTTTTATACTACTTTCTACTTAGCATATCCAAATCATGACATGTTGTAGCACTGTCGCGCTGTCCTCCTGTTGTTCATCAATTTGCTCGAGTGGGCACCAGTAACGTCTCCATTGTGAAACTTGTTGTTACTGTTTTTGGCATACTGAATACGTCATGGTAACTTGCCAAGCTATGCCGTGCAGGTGCAATACTCTCAGTAGCTTGCTGGGCTCTCAAGAGGGGCGGAGGAATCAAACCCGGGTCCCCAGGTCGGCGGCGTGCAAGGCAAACACCCTACTCGCTGTTCTATTGCTCAAACCCTATCTAACATGACATGTTAAACAGAGAAAATAACATCTTCAATTTACTTTGATAAATTTTTGTTTTTTAAAAAAACAAGAGATTACCTAGAGAGGTGAGAATAAGGTGATTAAGAAGAAGACAAGCATCCCTACTCTATTACACTTGCGCGGGGCTGGAGTGATAGCACAGAGGGAAGGGCGTTTGCCTTGCACACGGCAGAACCGGGTTCTATTCCCAGCATCTCGTATGGTCCCCTGAGCACCGCCAGGGGTAATTCCTAAGTGCAGAGCCAGGAGTGACCCCTGTGCATCGTCGTGTGTGACCCAAAAAGAAAAGAAAACAAAACAAAACAAAACACTTGTGCTCCAGTTCAAGTCTAGAATTTAATGATTTAGAAAACTAAGAATAGGGATAGAGTGCTGAAGACCAGGATTAAGTTTCCAACTTCTATTAATATCCCATGAAAGTCTCTTTAAATAATCAGGTGAGAGACAGAATGATTCAGAGAAGAGACTGAAGTTGTTCTTGAGAGAAGGAAAACACTTGCTCACCTCTCAGCTCCAACCCTCGCCAGCTGGCCGACCTCGGGCCCTTCATCTCTTTCTCCCTCTTAATAGAGCTCCTCGAACTTCCTTTTCTATTTGAATTATCTGGAAAGCTTTTAACATTCCCAAAGTCTTTTTAATATTCCTAATAATGTGGTTGGGGGCCAGGCCACAATTGTGACAATCATGTCAGAACCATCTCCGAGGTGGGCCCAGCCTTCAGTAATTTTAATTTTATTTAGAAGATTCCAATGTGTGATCAACTTTGAGACCCACTAATCTTATAAATAAGGGAAAAGAAAAGTAGCTATCTTGTTGTGCTGATTTGAAGAATAAAAGTAAACATAGGCCCAATTCTTTATCTGGCTTTATTCTGGCTAGTTTATTTATTTATTTATTTATTTAAAAAAAAATTTTTTTTTTGCCTTTTGGGTCACACCCGACGATGCACAGAAGTTACTCCTGGTTCATGCACTCAGGAATTACTCCTGGCGGTGCTCGGGGGACCATATGGGATGCTGGAAATTGAACCTAGGTCGCTGCGTGCAAGGCAAACGCCCTACCTGCTGTGCTGCTGCTCCAGCCCCTGGCTAGTTTATTTTTTTAAATTTGTGACTTATTTTAAATTTTAGATATAAAATGGTACATTTAATTTTGCTTTGTTTTGGGCCACACCTGCTGATGCTCAGGGGTTACTCCTGGCTCGGCACACAGGAATCACTCTCAGCAGTGCTTGGGGGCTATATGGGATGATGAGATCAAACCTGGGTCAGCCGCAAGCAAGGCAAACACCTAACGACTATACTATTGCTCCAGTCCCTAAAATGGTCACAGTTTTTGCAAGTTTTCTGAAGCCAACAAACCACATAGAATTAGCAGGATGCAGGGCGGTACTCCAAATTCAAGCGCCATCATTATTTCTGCAGTTAAATAAATGAATCCTGAGACTGAGCAGAGTAAATAAAGACTATGCAATGCTCCAGATAAGTTCAGGTCATGTTTTAATACCAAGAGTTCAGGTAAATTAATGAAAAATGTGTTTGATTTCCACAGCTTTCTGAACTTTGGAATAGTGGATCTTTATATGCAAAAGCAGTCAGGAAGTGTCTCAGACAGAGACACTGTATAATGTTATATGTTAAGGACGTTATACACAGATAATGTAGAAATATATCATTTCAGAAATAATCCTCTAACTATGCTACAGATTTATATTATGCAAATAATATAAATAATCCTCTAACTATGCTACAGATTTATATTATGCAAAACTACAAAAAGGATTTTTTTGGTTTGTTTCTGGGCGACCCGGCACTGATCAGGACTTAGTCCTGGCATGGTGCTTAGCGGTCACTTCAGGGGGCTTTTGGGGAACAAGACAGGGTGCTGAGGATCACACCCAAGTTGGTTGAGGGCAAGTACCCTACCTGCTGTCCCATCATTCCAGTCCCCAGAAGGGAAGGGATTCTTTCTTTTTTTTTTTTTTTCCTTTTGGGTCACACCTGGCAATGCACAGGGGCTATTCCTGGTTCATGCACTCAGGTATTACTCCTGGAGGTGCTCGGGGAACCATTTGGGATGCTGGGAATCGAACCTGGGTTGGGCGCACGTGCAAGGCAAACGCCCTACTCGCTGTGCTATCACTCCATCCAGCCCCCACAGAAGGGATTCTTTCTTTCAAACACCACCTTGGCTGTCCAAATGACTTTCTACGAAACCTGTAAATTCTGGCCATCAAGCCTATATTATTCCTAATTTTCTTTTCTGTTTCTTTTTTAATTTTTTGGGTCACACCCAGAGATG